AGTAGATGCTTCTCTAAGTGGCCCCAGGAGGCACAGCTGGGCTGGGAATGATCCCTGTGTAGGAGAAATCATCATACTGGGAGGGGTTGTTCTACAGCAGTGGGCTGCCAGACATCCTGACTGCTGTTCCTGGTTTGGTTTCTGCTGAAGCCATTCCGGGAACGCTGTCGTGACACACCTCCGTCTCTGCTGCACTTCGTCAGTGCTTTGGATGCTGTTAGTTTACCTGCATGAAATTTCAGACCCAGAGAGTCTTCCGTGCTGACACACGGGTGGACTTTGAACTCTTAAGTTCTTGTTTTGGTGGTGGATAGTTAGGTTTATTTATTTGTCAGGGAGGTGTATAGCTCAGTGGTAGAGCATGTGCCTAACAAGCACAAGGTCCTGGGTTCAATCCCCAGTACCTCCATTAAGAAAGAAACAAAACAAAAAGCCCAAAATATTTATTTGTCTATTTATTTGCTTGTTTGTTTGTTTGTTTTCTTTACTGGAGGTACTGGGGATTGAACCCAGGACCTCATGCATGCTAAGCATACACTCTACCACCGAACTATCCCCTCCCCCTCTGAACTCCCAAGGTCTTGATTGATCTTTTTATATAGTAGTGACTGGAGGAGGAGGTTCTCTTGGTTGTTGCCCTCAGCCTGTGACCAATGTATACTCACCTGAACCGAGCTCTTCCTTGTTCAGGATGAATTAGGTGCTTGATTTGTACACGCTCTTGGGCTCATCTCTTCAAATGCCTTCACATTCTCTACCTATCCTATGCTTACCACTGCCCTAAACCAAATCCTTTCCTCTGCCCTGGTCCTGGGAGTCATGGCAGTCACATTTTGAAACACTTGCATGATCTCCAACTGGCTGTTAGAGATGACTGTCCTCGTCCGGCACATTGCTGGCGTGGGCTCACATGCACGCAGACAACGCTCACCATCCAGACACACCATTGTCTTTCTTTAAATGCCCCCCTTCCTTCTCTTCTTCTCTGCACATAGCACGCCATCATCTCCGGAGGTAAGAACTGCCCCATTACACACGAGATGATCATCGCTAATGCGGTGGGTACAGACAGATAGAGACATCTAGCAGCGTGTTAATAAAAAGGCCTGGTGAGGAATAGAAAAGTGTCGCCCCCAGGTAATTCTAATAGACTGCCTGCAGTTTGCTCTAACCAGGACTGGAGAGGGGGTGGGATAAGGAATCGGGGAGAGAGGGTGCACCCATGTGTTAGGTCAGAGGAAAGATTTCTGTGCCTGGCTTTCTTCTTGTCTAGGAAATTTTAAAAGCTTCTTCTGCTTAGGCAAAAGCAGAGCCTTGCCAGGGTTCCGTTCCCTCCAAGCTGGGAAGGATGCAGTGGATCTCACCTGCATCCCCAAGCAGCCATCTAAACGCCAAAGCCAGTGAGTTTCTGAGGCTTTCTTTGGGCTGTGTCTCTCTGCCTCTTCCTTGTGCGTTATGTCATCCCTCTTTGCCTTTGTCTGTGTCTCTCTCCATGTCTCTGTGGCTTGGCATTGGTGCCTGGCTGGTCCCCACTTCTCTGTGTTTCTTGGTTTCCGCCAAGCCTGCCTCACGCCTTTCATTACCACGTTAACAAACTCGAGTCGTGCCCAGCGAGGACGCCTCATACGTTATGCTAATGATCAAGAGACATGTTAATGATATTTTAGAAGCCTAATTAGTGGAATATATAACTATATGCAATTTGGTAATGGACTGTGACAACAAGTTGTTAAAAGGGGGCTTGACAAATCCAGTTGCGTGTGGCCTGAGACAAACAGGAGCTGAGAATGGATGGGTGGAGATCAGATGGGGAGAGAGGGGGCTGGAGGTGGCAATGCTGTGTGTCCGTTGAAGTGGGGGTCGGTCTTTCTTACGGCTTGTTGCTTTCCTGTCATCCTTCCATCGTCCTTAACCCACAGGGCAAACTGGATGAGAAGAATTGTTTATTAATATTTCTTAAGCAATTGCTTACTCTTGTCATTGATCATACACACATATCTTTGTTAGAAGTGTTATTTTGATTATGTTATTCTCCGCCACATCCTTACTTGCCTTGTGTAATAGTAGATACGTATACACAGAAGATAGAAGGTAGGTTCTAGTACCAAAGAGAAACTTTATTGTGTTATAAACTAGCGATTGAGACCCTATAAACTGGGAAATTATCTGTCTTGTGTCTATCAACGTCTTGGTAGTGTTGGTAGGAGCGAAGAAAGGAGTGGTGTGTGTAAAATCATTCAGCTGTTTGAATGTCGTTATCTGTCAATGAAAGAATCGGTTAGAGGCATATATTTCTCCAGTTGGAACCATCTTCCCCCTAGTGCAGTGATTCCCATTTTGTGGGCCACGGACCCTGGGGGAAGCCATGAAGCTGTTGGAAAGGTTCGGTATATCTTTGTGGACGCCAGACGTCGTCTATGAACAGAGCAGTGCCGTGCACGCACACACAGGTGCACGTATAGATGCACCTCCTGAAGTTCTTTCAGCGCGTGAGATGCCGTGGTGGTTAATAAAATGCACGTTCAGTTAAAAAAAGCATCTTTCAGTTCCTATTGACTTCTTGTCATGTGCGTCTTTCCTGCATCTGCAGAAGCTGAAAACACAACGACTGTCTCATAGCGGTCCTTGCAATTTTTTATTAAAAAGGGAGACTGTACGTTCACAAAGTGTGGGAACCTTTGCCTAGCCTGGTGTCATCAGTGTAAAAATTGAAGCAAATAACTTTTACTTTTGACAACTATTTTAATTCTAGAAAATATGTTTGTGAAAATTGGCTTAAGTGTTGCCTGCTTCTCCAGTAACTATTACAAATTTGGGACTATATTTCCATAGGGTAGAAATTTCCCCTTAGTCAGAATTGACCTGTTTTCCTACAGAATGTGTGACGTCATGGCCCACCACCCAGACTGGAGCACTGTGGTGTACAGGCGGCGCTAGCTTATGGGAACGTGGGTTCCAGAAACTTAACTCTCTTTATTTTTCGCCCAGGGTGAAAATGCCCAGGAGAGGCAGGCTTGCAGTACCACACTCCACCACTAGGGAAAGCGTTCAGAACCATACAGTCAAGTTTGCAGCTTCTTGATGGACCAGGACAGTCACAGAGACCAAGACAGTTAGAGTCCTGGGCATCAGTTCCATACCCATGAAATGCATTTTCTCAGGTTATTGGCAGTGAGGTGTAACTGTAGTTTTTCCCTCGCTGTGCTTCCCAAGGCAATATGCCCTGTTACTGCTGAGGAAGGGAGAAGGGTGTAGATTTCTTTGTTGGGTCTTCATTATTTACTGAGCATCACCTCTGTGTCTGGCACAGTGCTAAGTACTTTTCATTACTCACCGGCTCAAGCTTCACCATGTGATCTCCCTCTGGGCTGGGACTAGGACATGGGCTTGGGGACAGAACAGCCTGCCACTGGGGTGCGTAGGTTAGTTCTCGAGGTTCTCTTCCTTTGCCTTGCTCCGTGTCACCTTAAAGGATTGACTGTAAAAAAGAAAGACGGAAAAACGTGTATCACGCCTCTTATTTCATCATGCCCTCTTGACATCCAAGACACTGAGTCTTCTGAATTCAGACACTACCCATTGTCATGCTTGTGATAAACGCTTGCCGGTGAGAGGACTTGTCTTTTAAAGAGGGGTGGTGATTGTCTTTGTAGAAATGTGCAAAGAAGATCTGCCTGGAATCCCTTTCTGAATGCAGTGAGTCAAAAATGCTGTGTGGTTTTGGAACTCTGAGAAACTTGTGTTCTTTTTTTCTCTCGTGTTCTGTCTTCTCTCCTTCTTTGACTGTCCCCAGCATTGAGACTTTAGAGGCGTGGATTCCCATCTTTGAAACCCTGATGCCCTAACTGTCAGGTTGCCCCATACCCAGGTAACCTTTCACATTTCACTACTTCAGCATCCTCATGCCTCAGGTGAGCAGCGCCCTGGGCTTCTTCCTTCTCTGTGTCCTCTACATTTTTATTGATAAAGCGCTGGAGGGAGAATATGCATGAGCTCAGGATTCTGTTATTGCGGCTGATACTTGTTTCCAGTTAAAAATGAGAACTAATTTTAGGGAGGGAGATGGAAAAGGAAAAAGTTTATAAGTGAGCCAGTGGAAAAAGCACATTCATTATCAGTGTCTTTCTCACTGAGTCGTTTGAAGCTGGGAAAATTAGCAACTGCTTTGAAGCTCAGAAGATCTTTCATCTTTGTGTGTGTG